CGTATTGAATTTTAAGCCTAGTACCTTCTGCTAGCTATTATTCGTGTGTTTCTTTGTCCTGTATGTTCTCCCATTTATTTGTATTGTGGTCCTGTAATGTGATGTTGTCATTTTGGTGTTGTGTTTGACGTTGCCATAAAAGCGGGAGGTTTGGCATGCCACAAAACCAGGTTCAACCCACCATTTTTTTCTTAAAATGTCCTGTACCAAGTCAGGAAAATGGCCATTGTTATATTATAGTTCGTTTCTGTGTGTGTTACATTTTAATGTTGTGTTTTTGTTGTGTCGTTGCTCTCCTCTTATATTTGATGCGTTTCCCTCAGTTTTAGTTTGTAACCCGGATTTGTTTTTATCTCTATCGATTATGAGTTTCGAACAGCGGTATACTACTGTTGCCTTTATTTCTGACCCGATCTCTAACCAACAAGATATCACAGTCTGACAGCATTACTTTGGCATCAAACGTATAGAAATGACAAACGACAGAATTCATTCCATTGAAAACACGAATGAAAATGTGGTTGAAAATACTGTAGTCATTCAGGCAGATGAATTATATGAGAATATTTTAAAACCGTTAATTATTAAACTGTGGAATGAATTATCAAGAGGGAAATTTTACAGTTTGTTGATGAGTCACCTTTTTAAGAATGAAATTTTGTCGGTATATTTGGAACATATTTGGAAACTAATAAGAACATACTGGAATCAAAATATTTTTTGAAGAATTTTAGTTCCGAACGTATTTTCAGCTATTGGTCTAGACATACAATCCCCCTTGTTTCGGACCAGTCAGTCAGGGAAGGAAAGAAGGTAACATTTTTATCCGACAAAGAATTGAATGATACCAATGATGCCATTAGTCGAGTTATAGAAGCTATAGCTTGGAGAAGTACTCTTATTTACAACCACTGGGTCGATACCACTGCTGGAGGAGTTTTAATTCCCCGAGGGTATCACCAGCCCAGTAGGCAGCACTTCTGTGCTGACATGAATTATCATTGATATGGTCATATTTATAAATTAACTGTTTAAACTTTTGAATTTTTAAAAACTTAGGCTTTTCTACCCCAGGAATAGATTACCTTAGCTGTATTTGGCAAAACTTTTAGGAATTTTGGTCCTCAATGCTCTTCAACTTCGTACTTTATTTGGCCTTTAACTTTTTTGGATTCGAGCGTCACTGATGAGTCTTTTGTAGACGAAACGTGCGTCTGGCGTAAATATAAAATTTAATCCTCGTATCTAGGATGAGTTTATTTATGCACTGGATTGTTGCCTTTGATTGGTATGAATTCTTTCAATATGCTTAGAGCAAGATGACGACTTTTGAACAAAAACGGATTTTGGGAAGAGATTATAGATCAAACCCTTAGTAACGTCCATCTTTCATCTAGCTGTTCTTGGTGGTAGCTTCGATATTGTTAAAGAATTGATAAGTACTGGTGCAGATGTTAACTGTTTTTCCGAATTTTGGGAAATACCTTTATATATAGCAGTTAAATCCGGCCACTCTGATTAATTTTGGAATATGATTTAAAGCAGACTGAGCATCATGTAGCAGTCCGACATAACGACTTAGAAAAATTGAGATCAAATATTCGATCAGGGATATTGATTGCAAAACAAAGAGCGGATGGGCAGTCCTTCATTACGCTGTAATATCAAATAATATAGAAGGTGTGAAGGTTTTAGTTGACCAAAGAGAAAATTTGAGCAGAAAACCGACGCCTAAAGTAAGCATAGTTGATAATAATGGACTTACTGCTGTTCATCTAGCAGTTATAAACGATAACATCGAGTGTATAGAAACGTTGCTAGACAATGGGGCTAATCCTTATTTATTCAATGATAGTGGCAATTCAGCATTAGACTTAATGGAAAGCAGTTGTGATACATTTCAGAACATAAACAATATAGCCAAATATAAACAATCAATTAAGGAAACTTATACAGTATTTGTTGTAGACATGGTCTTTCTAATGATTGTTACTTTTGGCCTATCTATATATCTTGACTCTGTCATTAGAAAGTAAGATCAAACCAGTATTTTGTACCGGACAAGATGCAGAATCAAGTAACATAACCTTGGTGCAAGTAACGAGAAGCATAAATGTTGTATTTTTCACAATTGTACTTCTTTGGTTATTATCAATAACGTTTAACATGAGATATTCAGATCTCCTTCGGCGATTTTTGTTTTTGTTTTTATGATTGATACTTCTAGGATGTGTTTTTTTATATATCATTTGCTCCATTTGTTTACAAGAAAATCATATGTTATGTATTTAATGATTTACATTGCAATTATGAGTTCAGCACTTATAAAAACGATCCCATATTAACCTTTTTACTATATTTATGTATGTTTAACAAGCTTGTTAAATTGTCGTCGAATTGTTACGTGCCTTGGAATATTGTTTTGGATCCTATTACTGTGGTTTCTTACCAATGATAGACATAACGTAAAATTTGATGATTTTTCTTCCTTTCGCGATATAAATACACTGAAAATAGACGCTTTAAATTGTTCGGAATTTAGATCTGCAAATTTCTCATGTACAAGTTTAGTCTTATTGTTACTTATATGAATGGTGTCGATTTCTCTGTACAATGTCAAACTATAGCAACTATTACAATACTTTTATTTTATGATATAAGTAGCTATAATGTTACATATGGTACACTTATAATGGAAGCATCATTTATAGTCTGGTCAAAAATACGCCTTCAGTGTTTATTTTGTTTAAATCTTTCGTTACATGCAATATGTGCCTATTGCATTTTACACTGTATACTAGTATTTGTTAAGAAAATACTCGGCGAGAAAATCAATTTCATGTTATTGTATAATGGAGGCGCAATGTGTTTTTTATATGAATATATGTTGTGTCATCTTTTGTCTAAATTTTGAGTAGCTTAAATATGATATTGTAGCGAAAAAATTAAAAAATGAAACCAAACGAGTCATTCATCAAATTTTTACATGTTTAAATGATTTAAACTGACCTTAGACCATTGCTATAATTGTCATTCGTCGTCGTTACATTTTTCAAAATTTTCTCCTCAACCTCTGGACCAATTTGGAACAATTTATTCTCTGTAGAGTATATATGCTATAGTTCGGGCCTTTTATAGCTGACTCATTGTTGAAGGTCGAACGGTGCCCTATAGTTGTTAATTTCTGTGTCATTTGGTCTCTTGTGGAGAGTTGTCTCATTGGCAATCATACCACATCTTCTTTTTTATAATTATTTTCACTTAAGGTGTACCTGACTGGTAAAAAATATACTTAAAGAAAACTTTACATATTTACCTGACAGGTAAACATCATAGGAAAATCTTTAATTTGCTACCTAGACATGTTATCCTGACTACTTTCATAAATTTATTCACACTGATCGATAGATTTTGATTTTGTCAGTTTTTTGCACTTCCACTTTTTGAGTTTGCCTTGCAGTTCAATATGTTTGTTACATGTTTTCACTTTGAGTATCTGTACATGTTTAACTCAGTGGTACGAAATCACAGTAGAATCTTTGTTTCACTAAAGGTATACTTTGACATGTTTACTCACTGTGACTTTGAGATGAAGAAAAGCAAGAAAAGCGCTGTTCCTTTGCTTTTTGTGTTTTTGTTGTTGTTGCTATGCATGTACTGATTTTGTGTCATGGATGGATATCCCATATCCTTTGTTGTCCCCCGCGCAGGTATTTCTACAACGAAATCAGAAACTTATATGATAGGTTGATATCAGCAATGTCTTGGACGAGTTCGAAAATCAGTGACGATCAAATATTTTTAAAAGAGTAATTCCCCTTGAAAGCGTTAATTATATGGAAAATTGCATCATTAGCTTTCTCATTTGTACAATTTTTGACAGATTTTCATAAAACTTATATCATATGTAAATATCAGCAATGTCTTGGGCGAGTTCGAAAATCAGTGCCGACGAATTATTTTTAAAAGAGTTATGTCTCTTGGAAACATCAATTATAAGGAAAATTCCATCGTTAGCGCTCTCATTATTAAAATTCATGTTAGATTTTTATGAAAATTATATCATGTCAATATAAGCAATATCTTGGACGAGTTCGAAAATCAGTGCTGATCAATTTTTGTTTTTAAAGAGTTATGCCCTTGGAAACATTAATTATATGGAAAATTGCATCGTTAGCTCTCTTATTTGTACAATTCTTGCCAGATTTTTATGAAACTTATATCATAGGTTAATACATGTATTAATAATATCTTGGACGAGTTCGAAAATCAGTGCCGATCAATTATTTTTGAAAGAGTTATGCTCCTTAGAAACATTAATAATTTGGAAAATGGCATCGTTAACACTCTCATGTGTCCTATTCTTACCAGATTTTTATGAAACTTTTATCATAGGTTTATATCAGTAATGTCTTTGACGAGTTCGAAAATCAGTGCCGATCAATTATTTTCAAAAGAGTTATGCCCTATGGAAACATTGATTATATGGAAAATTGCATTGTAAGTGCTCTTGCATGTACAAATTTAGCAAGATTTTTATCTAATTCATATCAAAGGTAAATAACAGGAATGTCTTAGACAATTTCAAAAATAAGTGCCGGCCAAATATTTTTAATGATTTTCCCTTGGAAATATCAAATTTATGGGAAATTGCTCCCAAGTCTTCAACTGTATTAAAAATAATGCATTTTGATTCAATAGCATGTGAATAATCCTCGATCACATGTGTTAGTTTTTATTAACGTTAACGTGTATATCTGTCTAGATTTAGTACAAGTATTCGTTTTAGATATTTAAAGATAATCTAAATTGTTTTCTGTAATCATGCGTTTCCATTACACGCACAGCTTGTGAAATACAGCAGTTTTAACTTGGTTTACAAAATGACACCTACAATAGTTTAAAAAGTTAAAAGCTTTCAAGGATGCATGGATTTTTAAAATCTACGAAGCAAAGAATGAATTAAAGATAGAAAAAAATCGAGATTGTAAACTCTCTTATATAAGTATCAATGCATGTCAGGTATAAATTATTTCCATTTCAAACATAAAATGTCTTCATCAAAAATTACAGCAAAGTAAATGGTTATACCTTTTTCACGAATACTTTGATGAGACACATACACGTTGATTTCTGGAGGAAGTTATCATCCGAAAGCTAGGAAAAGGTAAGTGTTTGATTTTTCTTTAATGTATTTTTTTTTTGGCAACATTTAACACAAGGCCGAAACAAAATATCTTCGACTGTTTCCGCCAACTCTTCATATCACATATTTAGTGTAAATTAATTATGTTTTTATTATATGTGACCCACTATGACATTTCCAGACTTTTGGAGGTGAAATATCATTGTGAGAAAGAAGCCGTTAACTATATCAAAACATTACGTCAAATTTTGTATGGAAACAAACACATTTATTTCAATACTGAATTTTTCAGTTCATGATGCTTTTAGTTTTGCATATGAAATTTATGTAATTTTAAAGCTTTAAAATTAAGTTAGAGAACGAATCATGAACGTGAACAAGAAGATGCACGTTCTGCAAATTTTAAAATTTAAAATCTGTGTAGCAAAAATATGAAATTTTAAAAGTACTTTATATTCCGAATGCTTTTCACAGTTTTTAATTTTGTATGCCAACATTTGTTTGAACAATGCAACCTCCCCATGTATTCAATAATAAATGTATGTTTTACATAGGAGCAGCCAATAATAAGAATACAGTAATACACATTAAATCCTAGTAATGTTTATTAAAGTACCTTGGCTACTTTTGGTTTGATGACAAACTATGCAAGTACATACATTCTGAAGTAGTTTCATGTCATTCTTTGAAGTGACAATTATTAGAACCTTAATAAATTGATAAAAATAAATCCAGATTCTCTGCTTTATAAATTTCCATCAATAGAATTATCAAGTATAACATATTAGTGTACCGTATTAAATACATATATAAGATGTCATTTTGTATACTAATTTAAAAAAAAAAAGGTCAAAGAACTATTTGTGTTATAGTAAATTTATTAAAATTTAAATTTGTATTTAAAATCGTTATAGATTGCTAAGCGCCCATAGGATACATTAATTTTTTCAATTATAAACTAGTGCGTTTGTTTATCAAAAAGTCGCCATTGATACAATGTCTGATTATGTTTATTTAAAAAAAGGCAAGATTCTTAATACACTGGCTCTAATCTATTAGATTTATGTATTAATATATGCATTAAGGATCTTTGCTTTTTTTAATATTCCATATTCAATATATTAATGATCTATTCAACCAGGTCCCATCTTTATTTAACAAATTTTGATGATTTAATTTGAAACCAGACACAGATCATGCTCCCGCTACATACATGGAGATAAGTTCTACAAACACTGTATTAACGATGTAAATTACAATTTGATATGATTGTGTTTGAAAAAAACATTTAATGAGGGGCGTAAAGGGGCGGTATCTGCACAGAAGAACGCGAAATGAAATTGGCATTTCACGATGAAAGAACAATTAAAAATTTCTTGCACGTTGATCTTTTTACCGATTTCACGAAACGGTGAACAACGAACCTTTTTCACGGATGCACGTGAAATAAAAATGGCAAAGCACGTTGCACGAAAATAACCCTTTACCACCCTCTTTAATGCCACTACATTTAATATTTCGTCATTTGTGAAAAATTCAAAGAAAATCAGATTCCCGATGATAGATAAACTAGTAATATACATAATAATCTCTGCCTGAAGATTAAGTTTTTGTTTGTAAACTGTAGAAGGCACTACCCGAGAAATCCATCCACCCTGTATGCATTAGTTCACTACAATTGACAATGTTCAACATTCTGTCATTTGTCTAAAGTTTTAGAAAAACCAAAAACCCGTGATATTAATATGTACACCTAATTCATATGAACAAGCACCACTGGTGTTAAACTGATCACCGTAACTGCAGTTACGGTGATCCCAACATGGCGGAGCCCAAAACAGGTAAAATCGTCTTTTTCTAATTTCTCCGTGTACACGCATTGTTATAAAGAATTACTCAGCCGGTAGGTTGATATGTACGGTATTGTTGTATATGTGTGTTCTTAATATCATATGTGACCATGTAACCGAAATAATAGCCATTGAAAATTTACGGAAGATCATCGTCACTCCACGAATTTTGTTTGTTATGATAGTAGTAATTTGATTATTAGATAGTCGTAACTTGTACATGATTATAGTATTTTGTCAGTGATTATCCTAATTTTCTCTATATGCTGATGGGCGACCATATATAAATCGTGTTTGAATAATTTACTAATTTATTTTTTGCTTTGTAGATATAGTCTTTATATTTTACAAGTCATAATTTCTGGTAAATGTTCATCATGAACAAGGAGAGGCAAACATTGTCCATGTTCACACATTATTAATGGAAACTATAATGTTTAAATTACGTTCGTTTTCAAGTAAAGATATGCTTTAGGTCACGACATCTTATTTTCCTGTGAATCTCGTTCCTTTTTCAAACACGTTTTTTTGTAATCTGAATGTTATATTAGTTCCTTTGGTGTGGGTAGTTAATGTGTGCGCCAATACTGCGTCTGCACTAGACATAAAAGAACACATATAGCGCATATAACTTACGAAAAAATGAAGTTACTAACAGTGTTAAATAAAGATATTGTGGCGGAATCGTTTTTTATTATTTTCAAAATTATGTGTAGGGTGGCTTGTTTCTATTTCCAATTTATTTTCGTCGTTTTTAATTGCTTACATGTTCGTATCCACGGTAAACTAAAAAGTGTAGTTGATTTTTATTGGTTAATCAGTAAGGACTCTCGGTGTTTGACATAAGATAAATGACTGAAAGCTTTTCTTTTCTTCTCGGTAGTAATCAATAGATATTTAGATTAAAGTATTTTCGAGTGCACCTTTATATACAAGTTTGTATTGAAGTACGCGGTTGATTAAAGTTGTTATTTCTTTACCTGTAATTAGTATATAAAGTAGATATTTGATTATTTCGGCCGTTTGATCGTATAATGACAAGGTCTGTTTAAGACATAATCAACATTTTGGTTTGAATAAAACCGCCGTTGTTTATTTATATTATTAAGGTTCCATTAAAGTCAAAAACTAGGACACTTCATAAACAACTAAACTTTGCCTGTATTTTTAAACTCATAATGCATAAAGTCCTAAATTATGGGAAGATATCTTCATTTAACATACTTAACATATACACACTGTGTAAATTGTAAATAAAGTTGAAATTGTTATGCTGTGGCCAAACCGGTTCTTGGGGGTGAACACTAAATTTTCCAAAAATTCTGGAGGCCTACGAGACGACTTAATTTGATTAAAATTGTAATGAACGAATACTGTAACATGTAATGCAGTACAAGCTAATGTTGTTTTGTCACATAAATATGTTACAATGGCATATTTGTCCAATTTCTGTATTGTACCTTCGATATTCGTTCACTTAGATACATGACATTAACTTAAACTCGTAAATCAATACATTTTCTGAAAAATAAACATTAGCTTGTACTGCATTACTTGTAACAGTATTCGTCCATACCAATTTTAAACAAATTTAGTCGTCTAGCAGGCTTTCAGATTTTTTTGAAATTTTAGTGTTCACCCCAACAACGGGTTTGGCCACAACATAACAATTGCAAGTTTATTTACAATTGACACAGTGTGTATATGTTAAGTATGTTTAAATGAAGATATTTTTATATAGTTTTGGACTTTATTCATTATTGGTTGAAAAATACAGGCAAAGTTTAGATGTTTATGAAGTGTTCTATATTTTGACTTTAGTGGAACCTTAACGGCTTACCGGTTTATTATACCTCGATGTCTGAATAAGACACTGCAACTTGGTTTGAGTAAAACCGATATGCTTTATTTCTCAGTGTGATTCTTCGTTACTTTATTTTATCCTGTTTATCTAAAGTCCCCCTCTAAATATAGAGTCTAATTCCACAGCGTGCTTTAGTAATAATTGAGTTAGAGAGTTTTTGTGTTTCGGGGTTTTGAATTTAATATTTAATGAGATTACGATAAAGTTCGATAATTTAGGGTGTTTACGGTAGAATTCGGTTGGTTAAGAAGCCGTTGATATTCATCTAACATTTTTTTTATGAACTTTTACATCATTTTACAATGCAATATTTTGATAGACTTTTTTTGAGTGCTCTGTTTTATGTGTACATTGTTGACTTTGGTACCTCATATTGTTATTGCAATTTATATGTGTTGATATTTTGAGAGACCTTATTAAATTATAAAAATTTACTTATCTTGATCTCTTCAGCCATGGGGACTCATGGCCCAGTGGGTCGAACCTTTATGCGAGGCTAACAGACGGTTTACAATTTAAAGTCGGAAATATCAAGTAGATTTGTGTTTCGGAAATTAATTATTTCCGAGCCATAAGATCAATTACGCTTGATTTGATATAATTGTCCGATTGCAGGTATTCAATTAACAGTTAACTTATAGAGATATTGAAGTCAAAGTCCGTGATCAGTATCAGAGTATACGTATTGTTCGAGTAGATTGTATATCTAAACACACGATAAAAAGGAGCTCATCAGTATAATGTAGAAAATATGTGTAGCTTTAGATGCTGAGTTAACCTTACGGACTTTACCAAATAAAATACACAGAAAAATAAAAAAAAAGGATATTTGATACATAGAAAATATAGTAAGATCGAACCGTCTCCTGTTACAATATAATGGAATTTCAAACTATAATTTAGGATAGCTTTAACATTAGGATATATTATATTCTTAATATCGTTGACATGTGGTTGTCCCGAATAGTATACCAATATTTGTATAAATGATCATGAAAAATTGCAAACTTTCCTTATGTTGAAAAAATATTTCGATCATGAATGTTATTTACGCGTTTGTTGTTATCTTTACACAACATTTTTTAATTAAATATTCCTTTATCAGAGGTTTCTGACTAAATCAGTTACTTTGATCATAGACATATTTTATACAGTTGCGATTATCTTTCAAGTTATTTGTCCACATGTTACGACTATCTTCTTTTGGAGTTATGATGATCTTCCTTAAATTTTCAAAGGCTATTATTTCGGTAATAAGGTCACATATGATATTAAGAACACACACATACAACAATACTGTACATATC